CAGTGTGTCTGTACACACTTCCCACAGCATTCATCTAAATCAGTTTCCACATATTGATATCCCTGAGAGAAAGGGGGAAGTTAAGTTGCCAAGTGCAGTTTAACAGGTTCACTCTCCCAGTCAACATATTCTGATGAAAACACTGCATTGTATGTACTGCATGTTGAGAGTATAACAGGTGTAATTTCTCTTACCATATCACAGTTTTCTCGACATTGCTGAAACTCACAAGATATCTGGAATAGGCCATTACCGGGGTCGACCTTATTTGTACAGGTACAATCCTGACAAACATTGCCAGGAACTAAAGAACCAGGCTAGTAAATAAAAGAAGAAATGTATTCATACTTCTGTTTTCAGACATACAAAAATGTAGCAGTGCAGCAGAAATCTTTACATGACAAAAGTGATATATTAATAAATTATATGACAAATCATCATCACATTTCCGTTTCTTATTTACCTGGTATTCCACATTCTTGTGGACACAAACTCTTTTAGGCTCTAGAAAAGAGTAAAAGAGTGGAAATTAGGTTAAAGTGCCATTGTCGTCATTAGGTTTGATATAAATTCAAATTAATGAACTCACCACATTTATGTTCTGGACAGCATTTTCCCTCAGGAACACTGACAACTGGCATATATCCAACCGGACAGTTCATGTTGGTGTATGGGCAATTGTTGCTTTGACATTCTTTGAGGATGATAAAACGGTGATAATATTAGTTAAGAGCCATCCTCAAGAATCGTTATCAATGCATAGTTTTCGAACAAATGTGCATCAATGCGAAGAATCTTACTGCAAACAAAGGTAGTACAGCAGCGGTCTGATGGATTAGTTTGGTTGACAAGCACAAACCCTGGACCAGTGCAGTTTGTTAGAGGTGGTGTTGGGCACACCTTCGGCTTGCATGTCACAGTCTTGGTGGACTCCTCACAGATGCAGTTTTGGCATTTGTACTCAAACCTCTCATTAAACTGAAAGAATAAACCACAGCAGTGACTTGGTTGTCTCTTGCAAGTAAACAACACAGGTTAGGATAGCACTAAACACATGAGCAGAAAACTTGGCTTACCTCACGAGGAATGCCCTCAGGATCAAGACATCCTGTTGAGAAATGAGCAATACTGTAGGCACAACTGATACCATATATTCAGCTCAATGATAAGACTTGAAGATGTACACCACACTTACCACACTTATCAACACATATACTAGACTCTTTGTTGAAGAGTTTCATTCCCTCAGGACAAAAGCAGCCCTCAGTAGGGAAGTTCATAGGTGGTTCATTAGGACTGTAATGTTAAATCATCAAGAAAGAACAGTTAGTTTATGTTTTTTCTTCCAGATCTCTAAAACAATTAATTTAATACACTTCTTATCGCTGCTTTGCTATTAAAAAGAAATATTTAATGCCCCTATTAATTATGATCCTGGACTCAGGAAATGCTATAGTGCACAAAGAACTGTAAAAAGAATACACTTTTTGTTAAAACTTACTTGTCTTCACAGGTTGGTTGTTCTACAGGACCACATGGCTTGTAAACTTTGTTTGATGGGCAATCACTTGCTGTTAGTGAAGAAAGGTTTTTTTTTAAAATACATACTGCCAACCTAATGTATATAATAAGATGTGCAGCAGTCTTTAAAATGTGCAACAAAAGTAAAACAAATAAGTTCCCAGCATATACAGTAAAATAATGAGGGTTTGGTTACCACACAGTTTGGTGTGGTTCCTCCAGTGAAGACAAACTCCAGCCTGAGCACAGGCAGCAGCATAAGTCTGCAAACTTGTGCACTCTACTACTGGGTTGGAAACATGGCAGCTATCAAAAACACAACCTTGGTAGAATTTGTCAGGAGAGACAAAGGGATGGCACTCTGCAAATACACTGTGAAAGTCAAACACAAACAAAAACACAAATAAAAAAGTGATTGTGTCTGAAGTGCAGTATGTCAAAGTTATGGGGATGAATATGTTACTACAGTGGATTATATAATGTCTACCTGCTCTTAAGCATATCACACATGGAGTCGGGACTGCATGGAGCAAAGGTTGGTTGAGGTTCAGGTGTATTGGTGGGCAGTACAGATGGTATCTCGCAGTTGGGTTGGTAAATGTGTTTTGCAGGCCAATAGTCAGCCATCACAGCACAACTTCCCGCCAGCTGGCCTCCAGGCAACATGCAGTCATCCTCCTGGTTGTTATTGCATGTTCCTGACAGCAGAGTCACAAAGCAGTTAATATTACCGTCTAATGTCAGTTAAATTATTTAACAATATGGCCACTGGAGAGAGAGAGATGCTCTTACCACAATGGCCCTGTGTGTTTTTGCCAAAGTATTGATATGGAAGGGTGACACTAAAGCCAGTGATTCCAAATGTTATGACCACTTTTAGACGAGGGATCTCCAAAATCAAGTTAATGCCAGAATCCAAGACCTTAACACCGTCTTGTGAATAAGGTAGCCTCAAACGGACTCCATTTTTTAGTGCCTATAGGGAAAAAAGTAAATACACTATGTGACAAGAAAATATACAGTACACTATATACTAATTATACTGACAGTGATAATATACTTGAAGTATATGAATTTATAATAATTATTTCATATTCATATATACCTCTAACTGCGCTGCTCCAATAAGGTTATGATTCATGAGGGTGATAACTTGCAATCCATATGAAATAACTATCGATCGTGGACAAGAAACATCTTCAGTGGGATCACAATAGACATTGTCAATATAAATTTTCAAGTCATATATTGGTAATCTCTCTTCCATCAGGACATAAGTACAGTTTCCTTGATAACTGTAGTACAATCCATCAAATGTTATGTAATGAGGATCTCCCCAGCCTTCACATACACCTGAAAAGAGAGAACAAAAAAAGGTTAAACATTTAAAATTCTGGTCATTCTGGAGAGAGAAAAGTTGATAGTTGCAATGAGACTCAGAACGACAGAATGGCTTACAGTCACAAGCGTACTGTTGGCAGCAGTGGTACGCATCATACACAAGAACTGGTTTCTTTCCATTGGAACAAGTGATGTTCTCAAGGGGTGGACATTCATATGGAATTATTTCAATTGTATTGTTCTCAATGCATCTGGCCATGGTGCAGTTGCACAAGTAGAAGGTCTCATTTTGCTGATGTAAAGAGGAAAAATGGGGAAAATCAGTAGTATTTTTTAGTACTTTGCCAGAAATTCAAGAAAGCTTGTTTTCAGAGAATAACATAAAATAATATACGTAATGTGCTAGATACATAAAGATTCTTACTGTTACATTCCATTCAGGGCAAGTAGGTACAGAAGGTTTCGTTGTTGGGGCAGGTGTGGACCAACAAGCTTCAGTCTTGTTGCGAATTTCACAAATATCAGAACATATCATTGTGAGACATACACCTGATCCAATGTGTTCCCTGTCAAATATTACCTGCCCTAAAGGTAAGAAAACAGATTAAGAGTAAATTAAACTGTGGTAAACCTTAAAAAGAAGAATATACAGTAGCCTGTCAGTGTCAAAGACATAATGGATGTATTTCCTTTCTTACCAGGCCTATAATGCTTGCCATTAACTATACAGAAGCATCCTGTAGTGGCACTCGGAATGATTACTGTTGTTGGCGTAGTTTCAGGTGTTGTAAGGTTGCTGATAACCTGCTCAGTTGATGGCGGCATTGTGGGATGCTCTGTGGGACCAGTTTCAACTCCTAATGATGTTAAAGTTGTGGAAACAGTAGTTGGCCCTTCAGTTGTAGTAGTAGGTTCAGGTGGTGGTGTTGTAGATTTTGTGGTTGTTGTTGGTGCTTCAGTTGTAGTAGTAGGTTTGGGTGGTGCTGTTGTAGATTTTGTGGTTGTGGTTGGTGCTTCAGTTGTAGTACT